TCGAACGATCGTCTGGACAAACTGATTCTGTAACTTCCACAAAGGCGTAACAGTAGGAAAGTTTGCCGGTCGTTACATCTCAAAGGAGACTGGCGCAAGCGAGTCGCATAGTATCGGATTAGCATGGCCAACGCCGGAGAGAAAGAGATAGAGAGATAGAGAAAGTGAGAGAGAGAGAGAGAGAGAGAGACATTACTAGGTCTCCGACGGCTCCATTTCTCGTCAGGTACCGCGAATAGGTGCCCACTTGCGGTCCGAGGATCCGACCGTGAGGGAAGGGAGGCGTTTTAAATAAGCCTGATTATCAAGGACTACCCTCATTGTCGTCGGCTTGCCGATGACAGCGATATCCTGTTGCGGTCGACCCGGCGCCGTCGTTATCGTGTCAAAAGCGGAAGAAAGAGAGAGAGATGTTGAGAACGAAGTCGAGCGCGTTCTACGAGATACCTACCGGCATCAATTTTACGCTCCTTTCCCGCTGCATTATCTGAGCGTCCAATTGGCCGAGAGAAGAGGCAGCTTCTTCTCTCGTTTGCGCCAGCGGCCTTTACTATTATACTACCACTATTACTCGTTTGTCTTCCTTGGCAACGAGACGAAAGCTCTCGGTATTGCCGAGCCGAGAAGAGAGATGGCAGAGAGGAAGAGAGAGGGAGAGAGACCGGTCGTCTCTGGTCGGCTCTTCCGCCGCGTCTTCCGTAACCGAAATCCAATTTGCATGCAACGCAGGTAGAATGGACGAGGTAATTGGTACACAGTAGGGATTACAGATCCGCACCAGGACAATAGATATATGCGTCCGACTCGACGGTAGTATTGATATAGCGCACCCCGGGCCTTGATCGGATGCGTATCAGTAACCATCAGATTAGACGCTGCCAAGGGTCAAAGTGCCCCGACAAATTACGCCCGGGTTTGTGAACGGGCCGACGACGACGGATCGTGGGTCGCGTAATTTTTGATTCGAACACACCCTCGGACCGTAATATTAAAATGTTGCACTTTCCACGGGGTATTGCGCGCTCCCAAGCGGGCTTTGAGAGAATTGATTGAAGTCAGGGGAACGCTGAAGTATTGACGACTCCCCTTCCGAAAATCAGCTCGACGAAGATTCCTCTTTCGCAATAATCAAAGTCAACTTGGAAATTCGGATTCGGCTTCATTCGGTACGGAAGAAATTGAAGGAAGGACGCGTCGGTGGGACGGCGATTCCCGAAAGATCGATTGTCCTAAGCGGGTCATTTGGAGCATTCCTAAGTAGGAGCGCGTCCAGCACGATTGCAGTATGAGAAAGAGAAAAAAATGGAGGAGTCAGAAGGAGAGGAGGACGAGCGAGGAGAAGAAAGAGGATGAAGAGAAGAAGAAAAGGAAAGAGCGGGAGGAGGAGAGGCCGAAAAGAAGAAGAGGAGAGACGCTCACATAAATACGCGCGCAACGCAAACAAAAACCCACAAAGGGCCGCGCTCGTGGCAGATACGATCTTGCGGCATGCAGATACGAGCATACTAATCTCTCCGAGTGGTCTCTCCCCGCGTGGAAACGGCGTCCTTTTGTTGTGTATCCATCTATGAAATATATTTGCGTCTACCCGCGCACATCCGGGACGCGGAGGAATGATTCAATATGATCCCGGCCGCGAGGATTTACGAGCGTCTCTCGCGGTGCCGCGCGGGGTCGTCTAGATCGCGAATAACATTGCGAAACGGAGAAAGGGGGAGAAAGAGAGGGAGAGTCGAGCGCGGGGCTCTCTTACCGCGTGAGGAACCGACGGAGGGTGAATAAAATTCACGTCCCATTCGACTTGTTATCCGCGCCGAGTAATTTTGAAGAGATCAACAAGCTAAATTAGAGAATAGAGTGTATTGACGTACTTGAGTACAACTCGTTGAGTTGACGGTATATATTTAAATGGCTTAAGTGGAAAACAATATAGAGAAAAAATAGAGGAATCAATGTCTGTACTGAAAGGCAAATTTATGAAGAGTGAGAAGCAAGTAGCAGTCGGGTAAAGTTTGCGGGAGTACAAAAGAGAAAGAGGAAAATCGCACTAGATCGCTTAAAGCCGCTAAGTTACATAAAGTTACGCGATTGTACGAAGAATAGTATAAAGAGACCGAAATATATCTAAATACAATAGGGATTACTGAGTTCGAGACGCATCACGAGCAATAAGTATTGTTATGTTAAACTGTAACTTCGTCAGAAACCAAGTTATTTCGAGAGGCGAAACATGATAGCTAGTGATCGCTTGGTTACGCAGTATTAAACAGTTTATAAGATGTAAGATAGAAATAAAGGAAATAATATAAAGGAAAACAGGATTCATCTCAAGAACATGGTAGGAAACTGTAAAGCTCGGTTAACTGCATCATACGTTAAACGCATCGCAATGTTCGTTACAAGCTTAACTTACTAAGGTACTAAGATACATTTCAGAAAGCACACGACGCATTGATATACTCCCGAGAGAAGCGGAACCTTAATAATCACGCGTCGAACGAGAAATTCTGGATTAACGATTGACGAATTGATGATCGCCTCTCGATATCAGGAAGGTAGTGCCTAAAATCAGGTAACGATGAAATATACGAGATAATCAGGTAGAAAGAAAGAAAGAGAGCGAGATATACATATGAGAAAGAAGGAGGATGAGGGGAATCACACCTTGCGTGCATTCGTCGCGATTGCAGCTTCGATCGGCATGCGACGAAGGCGAGGGGGGGGCGGAGGTGTCTTGGCGCAAATTTCCATGTCCGCGGCCTGATACAAGACACAAACCGGGGGACCGGCCGTCGGACCCGTGCAGGCTGCAGTTTCAATTTCGAGACGCCAATCCAATCATGTAAATCAAGGGTGGCATTATTAGCGGCGGCAATCGAACTCCGGCTAGGCCGATAGTAGTAGCGTAGTAGGTGGAGTGCCGAGTTAGGCGGCTGCTGCTGAGTCTAAGGTGGTGGTAGGGCACGGCTCTCTCTCCGGATCACGAACGAAGGGAGCAGCGACGTCCAACTAATCCCGGGTTTACCTAATCGCCTACTCCCTTCGTCCCGAACGCGGTTCGGCAATTCCGCTCGTTCGCAAAGCGGCTTACCCTTTCACCCCTTCCGCCTCTCTCCCGCCGGCGCAGTCGGAAGAGAGAGAGAGAGAGCTTCTGTATCCATCGGCGGCGGGCCCCGCAAATCGATCGATCTCGAATCGATTTTCAGGATCCATTGATCCCCTGTACACACGCGGGGTGTGCTGCAGCAGACCCAGTTTTCGAGAGCGGCGGAGGTTGACTGGAGGAGTCGAGGCGACGCGGAAACTCGTCTTCTCGAGACGAGTGCGATTATTTCGCGAAGATATACACAGCTTCTCTCTCTCTCTCTCGCTTTCTCTCTTTCTCGTCCTTCGATAGTTAGCGGCCGAGATATTTACGCGTTTTCTCGGGGGGAGGGAATGCTCCTCGCGAGGAGCGCGACATGTGCCTTTAGTCTGGGCCGTTGCTCCGCCGCGTTTAATTAATCCCCTCGGTGAAACGGACACTCGCGCTGATGATTTAACGAATATTGGCTTGAACTCGGCGCACCTCCGCAACAATTTCCGAAGGAGTCCGGTATATATCATCCGGGGGATGGCGAAGGTGAGCGGCTCTTGGGGCGCGCCTATGCGAAATATAATCGACACACGACCGATAATTCCTGACGGGGGCAGGCAGGCAGGGAGGGGGCGGGC